GTATTCTCGACCCCTCTGGGTATAGAAGCAAAGAAAACTGGGTCAGCTACGGAGGAAATAGTTTGGGTCAATACTCTACCATCATCAGTTACTTTATGTCGCCCATGAAAATTACTGTTTGCCAAAGAAAATGCACAATTAACGTCAAAATAAGTTGAGCATATGGAAAGGCAAATTGGTCTGCTGAATCCAAACATTTACCGATCAAATGGTATCGAGCTTCCAGTTGTTCCAAAACTGTATTTCAGTATGGTCGATACAAAAGTTGTGAATTATGTTACCAGTACCCAATCCTATTTGTGGTCGTGCGGTGAAAAATCTAAACGGTGTCAACAGAGAAGATGACCCGAACAAAACCGACACATCAAAATACACCAAAATTCAACAACAAGATCAATGGTGTCCATACTATGTATCTATGACCACATTAGCCACTTCCGGGCATTTAGCGGATGCCCCCGGGGAAGTGACCAGAACCAAAATTGATCCAAAACCCACCATGTATAAAAGTTAGTTAGAAAAGAGCCAATTTTAAGTAAAATTGAGCTAAAAACCATGATTTTAAATTAGCTGTCCTGTAATGAAAAACAATTTCCCCTCTAATATTTTTACATGAAAGTATTCATCAAAGCACGTTAAATTTGATAACGTCTTTAGTTTAAAAAACTGGTTGCCCCCATTTGCAAAATATTCACCAGAATATCGTATGTTTTGAGCAAATAAACGCTCTTAGCATGTTGAATTTGTGAGGTAGCGTGTTAAAGTACTCTAAAAAGTTGCTTGTTTTGGTAAACGAAAAAACTCTTTCAAACATAGTATGCCACGAAAAACTCAAATAAAAAAGATATGGTTGAAAAAACGATTTGAAGGGACCTTCCTTATAAAATACTTCATATATCAATGAAAACGACGATTTAAACCATTGATGTTTTCAACAAAGTTTGCGGAAATGATAAGATCTACAACTTTGTGGATCATTTTATTTTTCTAAACCGCATAGAAATATAGTAAGAAATTTTATTTTTTGTCCTAAGGGATTTAAATTATGGACGACCCCTTCATCAGATGCGTCTTTTTTAAATCTAAACTTGTCTGAAGACACCAACTTGATTAAACTACATCTTTATGCACTTTTTTAGTTTTTACCTGAAAAACACCCCCTGGACCACTGTGCAATGTCAGCATTTATTTGGTTAAGCGTGTATTTTGCTATTGTCTTACAGAGCTCATACTCAGTGTCCCTATGTTTCGAATATTAAAAATGTTTGTGAATAATGAGTTGCAGTTCAAAATGCTTATGAAGCAGAAAAGAGGAAGAGTATCCAAAATGTATATCCAACCACATAAAGTGCAAAAAAAAAAGTTTGGATTTGAGCAGTTAAAAATGACAAGCAGGATTGTTTCAATTAACCATCAGTGTTGTAGAGCCTTCGTGACCTTGACCATAAAAAATACGTATATATTACATGTATAAAACAGATCTAGAAGATTTATGGCTTAGCACACAAAATTGAGGAGTCAAAAGTGCCTTTCTCGAATAAAATTGAATAATATTTATATCACAGTGTTACAAAGATAAAATATAAGGAAATTTTCAAGTTACCTACACATTTAATTTGTTTTTGCCGAGTAGTCTTGCAATTCATTTTGCTGAAATTCAGTAAAACAATTGCCGAGACTCTGAAAAAAACAGATATTTTGCAGAGGTATCAGTAAATTTAAATGCCGAGGTAAACGACTGTTGGAAATTCTAACGAACTAGATTGAGTGTGTACTGAAAGTTATTAGTCTAGTTGTACAACATTAAATCACATTTGAAATTGATATAATTCTACCAACAATTTAAATTATTGATTAATAACCGATTTGGGTAACCATTTTTAATGTTTTGCCGGCGTTGCAAACGAAACTAAATACAATGTTCTTTTAGGAAATTATATGCTCAATAATTTTGTCAAATACTGGAATATAATCCTAGTTGATTTTTAAAAGGGATTAATATTTTATTGAAACGATATCTAGCTAATTTTTATTTTTTATAAAGGAGACTCAAGAAAGAATAAAAATTAACATCAGTCAGACATAGCTTCTATAAAATGCTAGTAGCTTTTCAGAATAAATTTGGATCCTCTTCCAGTCTTTGATAAAGTTGTTGAGTATATAATTTCTTATGAGAATATTGCTAATGTCATCTAGGGGCAAAAGCTTAAAAATTGTATTTCTTCATACATTTTCCCATACAAGCTACAGTAACTTACCAGCCTTAATTGTTATAATATATATATAAATGTTTTTACATTGATCCTGCTTTGGAAATTCATTATTTTAAACAGGTTTTCTAAACCTGCATGTCAGTATATGAATTGAAATCTTATAACTAAATCTTACTTAAATTTAAAGGGAATTAATCGTTGCAATTGAGGATTGCAACGATTTTTGCCTGAAATTATCAATTATTTTGTTGGACATGTGTTCTAAAGTCTCAACATTTAATATTTTATCTACCTCTATAGTACTGCGCCAAGGAGGCAACTTCAAAATCATCATTATGTACCTTGACGAAGTTATTTCTACCGGATTAGTTTATATGGATAGCTGTCATAACGACTTTTAAATAATTATTGTAGCACTGTAAAAACTTTTTCTGTTCGTCACGATGGTGATGATGGATTTTTAATATTTGATTTAATAATAGTAGCTCAAAAAAATGCAGTTTTGAAGCTTATTTGGAAGATACCTAGTAGTAAGTTTTCTGGCAAATGTTGGGGGTTCGTGAGCATTCCTGACATTGTGAAAATTATGATAGCATAAGATTGCGGGGTTGCTAGTGTAATAGGATGCTTTGTTGATTGTTCATTAACTCTTGATCGCTTGTAATACTTATGAATATTTAGGTGGACATTTATATCGCTGTGAAGCAACTGTAAACTCTAGAGGGAATTTATATCTGTAACTGTAACCAGTTCGATTTTGTTTGCTAACCTGGTTAAAATGGCATATATAGTTATCATAAAGATAAATCGTCCAGCTCAAATCTTTGTAGCGGCAAGAGGTGGGACCATCCTCAAATTTTTTTCCTAAGTCAAAATTATCAAAACTTCCGTTAGAATTATGCTGGCTAGTAATTTGATATCTATCAGTCTACCAATAGCAGCATAGGTAGCTCCATTTGCTCGCTGAACATTGTTAGCAGCGAGGGGAGCAGGTAAAGATGAAGAATTTGAAGCAGGGGTGATGTTTGTACATCCGGGTACGAATGTAGAATTTGTTCCTCGCTGACCGTTGTTAACAGCAGAGGAATTTGTACCTGGTCGGAAACGTAGAGCGTCTTCTACCTGTCACTTTGAATCGATTTGCGAGTCTCACATTCCTAAAAATTGGATTTCTGATTTTCCCCACAATTTGAACATTAAAATTTCTTAGGAAATCGGAAGTGGTTATTACAAAAAGGGAAATCTTTTCCTTCTCAGCATTAAGCCGGGAAAGTTTACTCATCATCCGTGAGCAAATCGAATTGATTGCTCAAATTAATTGCGCCATGGCGGCAAAAAATAGTTTATCCAAATCGGCTTCCAAGCGGATTTCTATAAGTATCTGAAGGATCAAAGAGGAATTTTCCAAATCATTATCCAAGCAGGATTACCTCGTGTAGGGTCCAAACAAGGATCGAAGAGGAATAAGAGTCGAAAAAGGTAGAAAATTCACAGGTATATTAAGCACTGAAAAGTGTTGTTTAAATTTGTTGTAGCTTTAGGTAGCAGTAACACTTCCCTCTGTAAAAAAAAAAACAAATAAATTCGCACGGCAATAGAGCACGATGCGGACCCTGGTTTGACAGTTTGATATCTATTTGTCACCTCTCTTGTGCACGCTAGGCGTGCTTAGTTTATGCATTATTGAAGCTTTTTTCTAATATCAAAATCGATGCAATAATTTCATTTTCAATATTTAATTAATAAGATGGTTATTTTTCTAGCAAGAACATGTTCTGCAAAAATTGCCTCGCTAAAACCAACAATATTCCTTAGTCACCAACAAAAACTGTTGGCCAACAAAAAAGTTAAGTTAAAGTTGATTGAATGAAGGATATGTTTCGAACACTTTTAATAAACGAAACATTCGTTTTTTTTACCCCTCCCCCTTGATATGCTTTGTAGTGATAGCACATAATTTTATTTTAATATTTGTTATAGCCTAATACTAGTGCACAAAATGGTACAAACTTAGAAATAAGACAATAATAACGATTTTGCTGAAATTTTTCAATTGTAATCATAATAACTCAATTAATTTCTTTTTGATGGAGGGTGAGGTTCTTAAATAAAACAATTATAAATACTTATATAACCATTGTAACTGATAACTGTTTTGATCAATTACCATTACAAACAATGACTAACCTTATAAACAGGTACCATACACAAACTATAAAATAGATGTTATGACCATAGCGCATACAGTTGGGATGATATTCCGAATTGGTGGATTGGCGCTTCTTATTGTTATTGTTTATGCGGCTAGCACTTCATCTCAGGGTAGATGGATTGCGTTTGTTCGGAAAATCTTCCCTTTTTTTTTGCTTGATTTGTTTTTCTTCGATCTTGTTTTCCGTACTGAGTACCAATGCTCCCGACGCCAGGGAGGCAGCTCCCACACCTGGACCCTACCTATCGACCCATCAACTCATGGCCTCAGAAAATCCCGACGGTGCCGACTGGGATTGAACGCAGGCCTTTTGGGGTGAGAGGCAAAAACGCTTACCAATACACCTCCGGCGCCGCTAATCTTCGATGTTACGTACGAGCGAAATCAACAAATGCATTAACAATGCGACCAGGACACGTTTGTGGATATTCATCAACGCTTTAGTATCCAACCCAACATTGTCAATAGCAAAAAAAAAAATCGTTTTAGGCAAAATTATTATTTTGAATATTATCGATGCCTGAGCCAAAAACCTCAATATTATCATATTATTTCATGTATTGTTTTTTTTTCAGATATTGGCCGTTCTGCTCTGCGTGGTTTCTATAGCTGGAGTTACTGCTGCCGGGTAATAATAAGTATGCTTATTCATTTATGTACAGCTCTGCACTATATAATTTGTTCATAAATGTGAATATCCTATGATAGGAAGAAAAAAAACTCCTAAGGCCGGGCGCCACAGTGATCTACCATACAAACTTGACCCACCCTAGAGGGCATGCAAAAATATGACAATATTCAAAATATGAAAGGTGCAAAAGCAGATACGTAGCCAGGAGCAGCGTTTAAGGATCACTAAGGGTATATGTTTATGGTGAACACTGATCACTGTTAAATGTATATTAATTTGCTTTCGATTATATACCCGCGGTAGTCACAAACCCGTCATCAGCAAGAATAAAACATATATTGTATTGGTGTGGCGGCGATGTGGCATTATGCATGATGTTTTGACATGCTAGCAGATGCAACACCTCCGCCACATCAGTGGGTGTCTGACCTAAAACATAACTTCATTCATTTTCAGCTGGGAGGACGAATATAAAAATACGATTTCCCAAAAACCAGCAATAACAATATTTCTGGATGACTTCACAGAAATATGTTTTATTCTTGCTGATGACGGGTTTGTGACTACCGCGGGTATATAATCGAAAGCAAATTAATATACATTTAACAGTGATCAGTGTTCACCATAAACATATACCCTTAGTGATCCTTAAACGCTCCTCCTGGCTACGTATCTGCTTTTGCACCTTTCATATTTTAAATATTGTCATATTTTGGCATGCCCTCTAGGGTGGGTCAAGTTTGTATGGTAGATCACTACCCCCTACTCCCCACTACTATTCCGATGTGTATTGAGGTTCCCAACAACGGTGTCAAATTTGAATGAATTTGGTTATGATCTGGATTTGCGAACCATTTCATTTACTTGCCAAAAACTCAAATATTGCTCATTTTCACCAGTCTTCGACAAAGTTGTTTTGTAAACTATTCTCAATCTAGGTTAGAGATTTGGTGAAATTTGAGCAATATTTGGAGTTTTGATAAGCTTATGAATATGATCATTCTTAAAAATGTCAACTCTAGAACGTGAACGTCAAAAGTGGCCTAGCACATACAAAATTGTTGAATAAACGTAAATGATACGAAAATGTCAAAATCGCCTAAAAAAAAAACAAGTACACCAACAATGATTAAAAATGTAATTATGGCCAAAAACACGCAAAATAAATGTTAAAATACTTTACACTTTCGAGACTAGCATAAAAATTAAAAAAATTTCATTAAAACGCCTAAAATATCCCCGAAATGCAAAAAATGCTCCAAAAATTTCAAGATGACCAATAGCTACTTGAAAGATGGGGCCAAAAATGGCAAAAAAAAACACATTACTTTAAAATCGTCAAACATGGTCCAACACTGAGTAAGATTGTCCAAAATTGTAAAAATGGCCTGAAACATAAAAAAATGTTAAAATGGCCAGAATTTAAATTGTTGAACAACCTGAAATTAACCATTAATCTCAATAATGGCGTCGATTTTTTTTAATGATTTTGAAATGCTAACGTAGGGGAAATGCCTCTAATGTTGACCTATGGATATACTTATGGATATTTTGGTCACTATTTAAAATTTAGTCGATTGCTGAATTTATATATGGGCTCAAGTTAGGGGCATTTAGACCGACATTACATCCATTTCACCTATTTAAGAAAATAAAATTCTGGATAAAAGTTTCCATTAGTCAATGTCAATGCTTTTATCATTTTGGATGAATATTTGTTGATATTTGCGTACATATCAATTTCAATTAGTTATAATCCTTGAAATAAAAAACTTATTAGTTTGTTATTGTAAATCAATTTCAACACAATTTTAAATTCAGATAAATTTTGCATATTTTTTTTAATCATGACCACGTTGTCTAAATTTTTGCGACCCATCGGTTGCAACCCTTATATTGAGAAATGCTGTGCAAACTAATTTGTTCTGAATTTTGTGAAAAAACGGATATCGGATAACGGTTAACGGATTCTGGACTTTTTTTCTGTGACTGTTTATGTAAATAAAAAAAAATTACATGTCAATTGTTTCTTGGTCTTTTATTATCGATCTGCAGTATCACACATATCTGTTGTTGGAATTTATGCGTAATATTTAACAATAAATTAAATGTCCGGCTTAACGGACCGTCTAACATTCGGTGCATTACGGTACTTTATTCATGTTTTTCGACATTTTCTTCTAAGTGAGTGGCCGAAACCAGGGTATTTCTTAGCTAAAGATCTGTATTTTATGTATGAAGGAGAAATGGCTATAATGTTGCCCTATGGATCTAAGATTGAGCCCATCGCTAAAAATCTGCTATTTATCAATTTATCTAGATAAATGCGTTATTGTGACGGCACAAATGCATATTTTTGGTCGCTATTAAAAATTTAGTCGATCGCGGAATTAAGGTATGGACCCAAATTAGGGACATTTAGGCCGACATTACATCCATTCCCCCTACATCATACAATAAAACGACAAATAAAAAAAAAGGAATCTTCAACTAAATAAAACTATGTCAGTTGCTGATAAAAATATACAAACAGAATGAAAAAGCCTAGTGCTCTAAATCATAAGAGTGTAACCGATTCACATTATCGATTTTCTCTTTAGATTACTACAGCCAAGTGAACCAATTTCCCGATTATGTTTAATGCAGTTCCATAAAAGGTTATATTGGCTACCAAAACCAACATCAGACGTACCGAAAAATGATAATTTGGCCGAGTTATTAACAAACAAACAATTAAAGTCATTGGGGAAAATAGAAGCAAAGCGCATTGTTCTTTTCAACACTATCAAAGCGAATTCAATATCACAAGCCGAGCTCTGAATTTCTTCTACCTGACAACGATTCAGTTGTTCAAATCAGTCGATCATTAGGATTGGAAACCTAAGTTAAGCATCAGGTGATCACAGGGAATTGAACATTTCGAACAGAACGATGTCCTAATTTATGGTATTGCAATGTATTAATCTTCAAACAAAGGCTGTTCATAAACTAGGCTTAGACCTCCACGTGGAAATAAACCCTTCTTCTTCTTCTTATTCGCATTTCAAGCTTATTGCTAAGTGCATATTAGCTTATTGTGTGCTCTCAAATGCACTTCCACAGTTATTAATTGAGATCTTTCGATGCCAATACCAATGCATGAGTTTGTATATTGTGTTGCAAGCACAATGATACTCTATGTCCGAAAGATTCCCTAGACCAGACCAGGAATCGAACCCGCTGCCTTCGGCTTGGTAATACCGTGCCTTTACTGACTAGGCTATGAGGCCCCAGAAATAAACCCATAAACGCCAATAAACTTCCCGCCCTCCCTAAGGTGCAAACATGATGAATGAACAGCCCTACATTTCAAATATCTCCGCGTTAGTTCAAACCAGGATGAGGTTGCTCTAAGAATAAGTGCAATATACGCAATGTTGTACACGATTGCAGTTAAGGACTCTTCACTTTATAATCTAGATATGGGAAGATTATGATCCAATCAAAACTATGCAATGCTTAAATTATTGGTTGTGAAACTCATAACTTTTTAATGAACATTCAAAGTAAGTCGTCACCAAGAACTCACAGCCAAAACTCAAAAAAAATCTATTCCATGTTGCTGTCTTTATTTTTTCGTACGGAAACAAGTGAATATTTTTTTTTTTATTATTTTTTGTTGTTTGTCAAAAAATGACCAGTTATATCGAACTTTGTGTTACGTGTTAGCAATTGGCATATTCAATTCAAATTCAATGAAAACTGCTAGAGAATAGCTTAACGGTAAAAGATAAGGAAGAATCATAGTTATTAAAACTGTATTATTGGAGCCGGCGCCGGTGTTGTAGTGGTAAGCGCGACTACTTTCTCACCCCAATGGGTCTGGGTTCAATCCCAGCCGAGGTCGGTGGGATTTTTCTGAGGCATAAACATCTCTGGTCACGTCTTCCTTCGGGAGGGAAGCAATGCCGTTGGTCCCGGCCCATGTGTGTTGAATGGGTGCGATATCCTACGCAGGTGTGGAAGCTGCCTTCCTGCACATTCGATTGCCGTCAATGGATGGCAATCGATGTCCGTCGGTGATTGGCACTGGATTGCGGAACAGAGACTGACGTTAAATAAAGGAATTAATAAAACTGTATTGTTAGTTTTCTGAAATTGTAAACATGGGACGCAAAATACAATAAAAAATGTTGAAAAATCTAATGTATACATTGTTCTACACAAAAAAATTGGTTGGTGTCATCATTGAGAATTTCAAAAATTAAAATTATGTGACTTGACGCCAGTGCACAGTGGTTCCCCCTAGAACAAAAGTTGGACAAAACCTCAAAATTGTTGCTGATAGGCAAAAACAGTTGAAATAGATGTTTTTTAGCTGTGCGAAGAAAACTTGACAATCAAGACGTCACAAAAAGGAGTGTAGTAGAACCAAAACCAATGCACAATGGTCCCAGCCGTATTTACCTAGGAAGACAAAAAATTTTGCGCCCGAACTGTCAGTTTTAGATATATGGTTTCTTACGGAAAGTTGCTTCATATTTTTTGTTCAATCTTTTTATGTTCGTAAAATCAAGGTGGTCCTTATAATTGGAGAATTAAAAATACAAACTATTTATTATTTGAGATAGACCAATACAGTGTTCTAAACAGTTGTAGAACATTAAATTCAAAGCAACTTTGTAGAAAACTCAACGTTTTTCATGAGTTATGATTTTTTAAACAAGCAGGTTAGGATGGTCACTAAAATCGATTTTCTTTGAATATCTTTTCATGCGTTAATTTCTTGCAAAAACATTGTGCTGATTACACTTAGAACTTTTGATGACGCATATTTTTGCTCAAGCAACTAGGTTACTATCTATTTGATTAGAAAGTTAAAGGCTATTTTCTTCGAAAAAATTACTCTTTTCAATTGTCAATATCTCAAAATGGAGCAAACCGATTTCATTGGAAACATCGTTTTTTTTTTTTCATTTTTGGTAAAAAAAAACTGCAAGAGCCTTTTGTGTTTAAAG